ATTTGAGTAGGATGTCAGTAAATGTTTAAGAGATTTACTTGTGGGGAGATGTTATTATAAAGCTACAGAGACATATTTAAGATCTCAAAGAGTCAATACTGCTGCTTACAGAGAATTGTTTGGAAATTTGTTGTTTTTCTTGAAGGGGGCTGGGAAGTAGCCATTGTAACAAGATCCTGTAATTTGGTGCATCTCTTTGCTTAGAAATAAAAACAATATTGCCTGAATGTGAATGAACCAGAAAACTAAACTCTGTGTGATGGTGGGGTGGGTATAAGTGATAACAGCACTTCTAAGACTAATTTTGCAAAATGAATGTAGAAGCAGAGAGGAATATTTGCCATGTGCTGTCAATGGGAAAGGCTGTTTCTTGCCTCCTTTAAAAGAAAGGTAAAAAAACCCAAAAGTGGTTCTATCATGCCAGTGTCAGTAATTAGTTTGGGCTCAGGAAGAAAAATAATTTCCTAGAAAACATAATTGATTTGGACTTTATAGTCAAGTTTCTAATAAACAGAACTTGTAGCACTGACAAATGTTTCTCTTCCTCCTTCCCCCTGGAAAAACTGTCAGTATATGCCTGTTGGTAGAAGTGCTGTGGAAGATTTGGGCATCGATACATTTGTCATCCTCTGTAGTTTAACTATGTCTGTAATCAGCTCCTAAGCTTTACAGGGATCCATCTGTTCGTTGGATCTCCCTTGACTTAGCAAAAGCTGATAAAGCAATCAGAGGGTGTTCTAATTTAACTCTGAGAGCTGCTGAATTTTGATTTGAGTCTTTTTTCTTCCCATCTTTGTCAAACAAAGGTACAACAAGTGGAGCAGAAGCCAGAGGGGACTCCTCAGGGTGTTTTTGCCTGTGTGAGAACGGATCAAAATATTGTCTGAACCAGGGATGCAAATAGTGTGGCTGATTAATGACTTGCTCACACGGTCTCCACCGTCAAATGCCAAGTGACGTCTTCTTGTGTGCCACCAACTCCTACCCTCTGAGCAAAGCTGGTGGGCCCAGAGGACACGCTGCTGTCAGGGAAGAAATAGGAGATGTGGGAGGGTGAGAAGCCTTCCAGTTATCTCCAACTCAGGAGAGGTCCCCTAAGACCCAGACCATCTGGTGTATGTGGAGCAGCAAAGTGAGACTGAGTCAGGACACCCAAAGGCAGCACAGAACACACCGCAGGAGCTCGATCTTTGTGTCACAGCAGCTGAACTTCTGATTCCAACCCCAGGTACAACCTGGGCATCAAGCACGAGTCTCACTGCCTCCGTGTTTGCTTCTGCCTTGCTCCAAGCTGGAGCAGTTTCACTATTAATTTCAATATCAACCTGGTTTAAAGACCAAAACTGCTGTGCTAAAAAAAGCAAATGCTCCTTCACAGTTAAGCACGAGTGAACAGGAATATCCACGACCTAGAATTTTTCTCAGCAAATTAATGCTGCTTCCCTTCAGTGAAAAACAACTAAATAACCTTCTCAAAGAACTTTCTGGCTGAAGTCATTGGCAGCTGAAAAATAACGAAAGGCTTCGAAATGCCCAGACCATGCTCATTTTTTTTTTTTTTCTTTATTTCCTCATTTAATTGCAGCATATCTACTGCTTCCCCATTTTGTGTGAAGACAAAAGGTGAAACAAATCTCGGGTTAGGGAATCAGCTGTGTGAAGCTGAGTGTAAAAATGGGTAAACAATAACAATTCCTGTTTGCTGCAACTTCTGGCTCGCTCTAAATGGAATGCTAGTCCCTTGCCAGAGTCTGTTAAAAATAGAAAAGAGCCCGTGTCAGAGTCTGCCTCTTGCTCTTTTTTTGGGGTGGGGATCTGCATGCTAATTTATTAATGTAACCTTTTTTGGTTCATCGGTGTAGGGACTTGTTGCCTTGAAACAAGACATAGTGAAAAGAAAATGAAGCAGCTTTAACAGCATACAGCCTTTGCTACCTGTAGACCCCATCAAACGTTGCCTTTAACATTTTCTTTCCAGTGGTGGGTATAACTAGAGCTTCAGGACAGGAGTTTTGCTCTGCTGCACATTTAGTTGTGCCAGTCAGTGATGTTTCATAAGTTTAGAGCAGCTAAAGCTCTGTCTCCAGGATTTGTTATAACTGTGTTTTCCTGTGAATCAGAATTACAGACTGGTTTGGGTTGAAGGGACCTTTCAAGGCCATCTGGTCCAACCCCCTGCAGTGAGCAGGGACATCTTCAACCAGATCAGGTTGCTCAGAGCCCCGTCCAACCTGACCTGGAATGTTTCCAGGGATGGAGCTTCTACCACCTCTCTGGGCAACCTGTACAAGTGTTTCACCACCCTCATTGTAAAAAATTCCTCCTTCTATCTAGTCTAAATCTCCCTTCTTTTAACTTAAAACCACTTGAAACAGTACAAATGTCAATAGAAAGATATATTGTCAGCAGCATCTTGAAAGGGTTGAAGCTGGAATTGCTAGTCAATGCACTCAATATGTAACAGAGCTAGATGTAAAATCAAAGTAGAAATAATTTGGACCCTCTTCTTAATTCTGCTGACAGCTTATTCAACTTCCAGAGCAATATAAACCAAGATCAGCATGTCAAAACCTTGAGCTGCTGAATTATTGTGTAGGGTACAAAAACAAAATTCACCTCCTGCATCTTTTCTGTCTAATGAGCAAAATCTTTCTGTAGATTGCAGGACAGCTGTGAGTAACTAATGCCACCCTGGCATTTCCTTAGTGCCTCTGTAGAAGTGTGATGTGCTGTTTAAAGAGCCACAGAAAGCAATGTCCTTCTACTGCAGGCACCTGGTTACCTCTGTAGTTCAGAAACTTTCCCTAATCCTTTCTGTTGGCTACCTGGATGTCTGGCAAAAGGGGAAAAATATCAACTGGGGCTTGGACACTTGCCTACTAGCAGCTAGGACTGAGAAAACAGAATTATTATAGCACCTAATTCTCCAGAGCAACCTTTTCCAAGTTTCTCACTCTAGGCTAGGTGTAATCATAGATGATTAATTAATTATTAAGTGCCACCATCCAGGTATCCTCTAATAGAGCTGGAGAGTGAGCAGCAGTTGAGAAGTGAAAAGTTTTCTTTCTTAAAACTAATTCTCTGTCCTATTCACAGGCCTTAATGTCTTCTCTGGTACACTGTCAGGAATAAAATGGTAAACAGTGGCAAAACCAATTAGAGTTTAGAGGCTTCATCATCCATTGTCTCCCTGCAGTCTGTGCTGGAAGAACAGTAAAGAAAACTTGAACTGATCTTTTAATGCTCTGGAATTGTAGGTTGACTAAATGGTGCTTGAATTCCTGCTTTGTTTTGAAAATGTTGAGGACTCTCAAGTGTCAGTAGCACAATTCAATTGCTTGTTATATGAAAATTAAATAAAATAAAATGTACTATTAGCCTCCTGAGATCCTTTGCCATTAAGTTTTTCATCACTCACCCCTGAAAATGTCAGGGTTGCATTCCCTTCCCTCCATCATTTCTTTTCCTGTTTGCCAACTCAAAGTTTCTTCAGATCTGAGAGATAAGTTTTCCTTGTACCTCCTGGTGAGTAAGTGCCAATTGAGTCACAAAGATGTAATTTGCCTTTATCATTTGTCAGAAGTTACAGAACTGCTTGATTATAGGTTGTTTAAGAACCAGTTCTGATGTTCAGTGCACTGTTTCACTGATGGGCAGCACAGAGGGATTTAGAAGCTTCCAGGCTACAGAAACTTGTGTTGTTTATTCTGTACCATCTCTGTTAGCACCATGGGATTAAGATCCATGTCTCTTCTCCCAGGTAACTAGTGATAGAACAAGAGGAAATGGCCTCAAGTTGCCCCAAGGGAGGTTCAGATTGGAAGTCAGGAAAAATTTCTTCACTGAAAGGGTTCTCAGGCACTGGAACAGGCTGCCCAGGGAGGTGGTTGAGTCCCCATCCCTGGAGGGATTTGAAAGCTGGGTAGAT